CTCCCACCATACTCCTACTTTTACAAGTTCATGATCAACCTTCTGAAGATGTTCAGCAGCGAACGGAGGCTCCTGGAGGTCCGAGGCGCGTTCATCATCAGGTTAGCCGTGGTTTTTCATTGGGACACCACGCGAGGTGTCAGAGCAACCATTTTCTCTCTCACGTCTCTCGCCGCCTTTCTTGACCTTTGTATTCTTAAAAGAAAGAAAGAAAGTTCCCCCTTTTCCACCCAGTTGCTGGTGCTACCGACATGAGGCAGGTGAAGTTCACCATGTTTTAAACAAATGAATTAGTTTTTCACTTGTGAGATGTTTTCTTTTGAGGTTGAATAGCTTCTCATTAAATGCCCTGTCGGAGTCTTTGCGAGGAAAGTAGGGGAGCCAGATGGAACGCGTAAGGGGGCCGTGCTCGGCACCCCACTGCCCGCACAGGGTTGGTGGCAGCAGTGGCTCTGGTGGAGCCAGGTACTTGAGTCGTGTTAGCCTAGCCCTGAACAGTCCCTGGGCTCTGGCCACAGTCACTCAAGGCCTGTAGGACTGTCATCAGCAGTAGCATGGCCAGTAAGTAGTCTGGCCCTTTGCCTCCTACTCAGCTCCAAGGAGCAAGGTTATCAGAAAAGTGACCATCAGGCCAACAAAATCTAGATGGGGCACAGATTTTTCCAGGCTCCCCAACAAAGCCAAGCGGAGGAGTTTTCCAGAATAGTCTGGTCCCAGAAACTCTATGGCGGTGGTTATCATCTCTGGCTACGTATTAGGTCACCAGAGAAGCTCAAAAAAAAAATAATAGCCGGGCCTCCCCCAGCCAGTGGTTTCAAAACCTTCGGGGTGACGGGGGTTATTAGAGCCACCCAGGGTGCTCAGGGAGCAGACTAGACTAACGTGTCTGGGAGTCAGGGAGGCGGCGGGAGCGGGAGTTGGCGAGCTGGAGGGGGTTCCCAGCGGGGGTCCAGCCTGCACACAGGCTTCCAGTGGAAGGAGCGGACAGTGGACAGTTCATTTTGCCATAAACCAGAAGGCAAGGGGGAGGGGCTTAGCCTCGGGGGCCATACTAAAGCTTGGGGGCCTTACACAGAGGTCACAGGAGGCCACTGCAAGGGCTTGAGCAGGAGAATGGTGTGACCAGATTTCTGTTCTTAAAGGTTACGGTGCTGCTGGAGGGGATCAGAGGGAGGAGGGCAAGATGGACGTGTGGGGGATCAGTTAGGCGACCGTGGTCCAGGTGAGAGATGGCGGTGGCTCGCTGGGGGATAGGGAGAAGCAGCGGGACTCAGGAGTAAGTAGGAAGTGCCATCCGTTGGCGATTGAGTGCATGAGGGAGTTGGGCGTGATACCAGGACTCTGGTGTGACAAACGGGTGGATGGTGGTGGCAGTCCCTGGATGGGAGCCCTGGAGGAGGAGCGGGGAGGGAGGAGAGTGTGAATTTAAATTCCTTTGGGGACGTCACAGGAGAGATGTTGAAGAAGCAATTTGCTATACTTGTCTCTCAAAAGAGGGCCCTAGGCCTGAGATACAAATCTGGAAATTGATGGCATAGTCATTCATTTATTCACATATTCATTCACCCAAGAGATACTGAGTGCTGAGTCTGCGCGGTACCATTCCAGGTGGTGCTCTTGGGGAGTTTCCATCCTTAGGGAGTAAGAACAGTCAGTGGTAAGAGGGCAGAGAGGGAAGGGCCAGAGCTGAGCCCCAGGGAGCTGCAGTGTATAATGGTTGGGGAGGAAGGAGAAGCCAGGAGAGGAAGCTGAGAAGGGCCCGGTGGGAGAGGAGAGGGGAGAGGGGGAGGAAGCAGGCAGTGAGGGGGGATGGGTCCTGAAGAGGGTCTCCTGGGAGGCACGGGAGAGGGAGCCACCAGGCCTTAGCTCAAGGGCTGAGGGCGGAATTGAGGGCTCCTGGGGAACAGGCTCAAAGGACTAAGTCGAAGGAGACAGGCTAGCCTTACCAGAAAGACGAACGCGGGACCATAAAGTCCCTGCTCATTGGGAGGAAGGGGCTTCTGACAGTCTAGACTACCCAGAGGTGTGCTGTGGTGGGAGGTGTCACCACGCCGTTGGCGTTCGGACCCGGATCATTTGTGGCAGGGGCTGCCCTGTGCACCGCAGGGTGGTACTTAGCAGCATCCCTGGCCCTTCCCACTAGAGGCCAGTAGCATCCCACCCATCCAGCTAGGACAGTCAGAAATGGCTTCAAACTTTCCAGTGTCCCCTGGGAGTAAAATCACCCCAATTGAGAACCGGTTACAGAGGGACAGAATGGATTCTTATTCTCATTGGCCAAAAGAGGAAAATTTCTGGTTTTTCTTCACAGTTGGGGATTGAAGTAAAGGTTAGATGTGGTAAATAGGACCCTCCACACACCAGGAAGATGACAGATGACCTTCACATGAGTGGCAGTTAACTATGTGTGGTTTTCCAGATGGCAGAGGCGTCGGCCCTATGCTGAGCTCTCCTCACCTGGAAGACTCAGGGACCAGTGGGGAACGAGGCCTTTGAAAAAAGCATCCATCCTAGTTCCATCTCTGGAGGACTGAGCTGTAACGGCTTCCTCCATCCTCTCTCAGCCTGGCCTTGGGGGGAGGGAACTCAGGGGAGTGAGCAGCACCCACAGAGTGCACCAAGGAGAAGTCTGGCAATGCGGGCCCCATGAAGCTGGCAGCCCTGTCTCTGCCGTGTTCCCATTTACAGCCTGCAGGGCAGCGAGGCTTCTCTTGCTTTGCATCGTCCCCCAGACATCCAGGACTGATGGGAATCTTCATTTTGCAGAAGGGAAATGAGAGGAAGCCATGTACCTGCCCAGCTTGGTCGCAGCTGGGCTGCGGGCTGCTGCTCTCTGCTAATTCTGTCATAGCTGCCACTCTGTCTTTTCTGTGAGAGAGTGCCGAGCCAGGTACCTCAAGAGGTCCTGCACAGCCTTCGAGCCGAGACCACCTGGGGCCAAGCTTCTCAGAGGAGCTCCTCCCTCCTCGTCCTCTGTGGGCTCCGGAGACCCAGCATAGCTGTCACTTGCTATTCCAGGGCTCACACCGCTCGTGGACCGCACTGGGGCCTCATGGGCATCAAGCTTGGCCTCACTCTCACCCCGCACAGCCACAGAGGTCTCCTAGCCCTTGGTACTTGCACAGAGAACCAGGGCTGGGACAGATGGCACCTTGAGGCTGGGCCCCTCACACGTGTTGTCCCTCTCAGTCCTTTGCTTCATTCGTCCATCCTGCTCTTCCCCCAAAGCAGCACCAGCACCTGTCAGTACGTGTTACAGCCGACAGCCACCTGGCCCAGCTTCCTCTGGGCCACCCTGGTTCTGTAGACCTGCTGCCTATTAGGCCAGCTTGCCAGGCCCCAGCTGGCCAGCCCAGGGCACAGTCCGGGCCACCCAGTCTGAGCTGTCAGGGCGCACACAGTGCAGCAACAGCCCTGGAGGGGGCCTTGGGTGTGTGCTCTCCTCCTTCCCATGGTCAGACTGGGGCCGGGGCGCTTTAGCAGAGATTTGCTCAGAACAAGCCCTTGGGAGGTTAGCCACCTGCCTGCTTCTTGTTGTGTTTCCTTATTTTCTGCTGAGGGTTTTAAAAAAGAGCATAATAATGGTATATGCAGACTGCTGAGATGAAGCCAGAGGCCTGATAAGAAACACAGGGAGTTAACCCTCCCCGTCTGGTGTTAGACAAGCTATAAGTTGCTCCTCTCAACCCCCGAGGTCGAGCATTGAGAAAGAAAGGAAAGAGATTCTTCTGGCAAACAAGTCAAGAGCCATTATTTCTGCGGTAGTGTATTTAGCTCAGAATCCAGGGGCGGCTGCCATCTCTAGGACAAAGGCATCTGGAGTTCTCGAAGACAAACATCTGGTGGGGGTCTCGGCATTGAGGAAGATGCATGATTTCCCTCCGGACCCAGAGCATTTCCTCTCCCCCACGAAGCTTTCCCAGGCTGCACCTCTGTGGGGGGTGGGAGTGCTCCCCCCACCCCGAACTCCACCCAGGCCCCTGGGCAGGTCGGACATCTTCTCCGGATCCAGATGGCCTTGTTATCTGGTGGGTATAACAGTGTAGATGCCTGCTGAGTTTGGAGAAGCCGGTGGCTCCAAAACCTCATCTCTGCCAGACTTGTCGAGGCCTGCTCCCAAGCCCACATGAGGACAGGAGTAAGGGGGTGCTGAGAGGGGGCTGCTGCCAGCACCTCCAGCCCTACCGTACCCACGCCCCCTCCCCAGGGCTCCCCAGGCGCTCAGGGCAGGATTAAGAGAGGAGCTTCTGGAGTCAAACAGACTTGAGTTCGAATCCCAGGTCCTCAGTTTTTAACTGCAGGACTGCTTTCCAAGCTCATTTTGCTTTGAGTGTGAAACAAAGATGACAGTGCCAGCCCGCCGTCCGCGGAGAGGGTTACGTAAGCCCGTGCATGTTATAGCTCTCGGCACAGCTTGATAAAGGGGAGCTGTTCCGCCTGGTAATGTGGCCTCGGCCTCCCACGGTGGTCTGCAGGGAGGGGAACTGGACTCGAGAGAGGGTGAAATAATTGAACCTTCTGTGCCAACAGCTGGCTCCGGTGCTCCAGGCCTGCTGCCCCAGCACCCGCAGCACCCACCAGCGGCCCGGCCCAGCCCCATTAAAACAACTCTGCCTGGGGTGGGTGTTCGTGTACATTTTCCTCTTCCAGCCTCTTCCCACCCTCCATGCCAGCGCAGGCAGGACAAGCACAGGCCTTGTTTTCCCATGAACTGTCCACTTCTACTCAGTAGAAAAGGCCGGGAGGGAGAAAACGCAGCCTCTTTGATAAACTGTGATATGAACTGCAGCGTAATCCAACAGCTGGGATCTTTACAAGGCCTGCTTCTGTGCTGGGGAAGGCACAGGACTGAGGACACCCCACTCTGCTGGCCAAGAAGGCCCTCTGGCCAGCCGTCCTTCGCCTTAATCAGCTGAGCCTCTTCCCCTCCTCTTCCTCCCTGCCGCTTTGCAGAGGACTGGCCAGAGAATGCTTTCTTTTTAACGAGTGACTGTGCTGTGAACTCAAGTGCTCCAGCCCCAACCAGCCCAGTTGATGGTGAATGAGGTCCCAAGCACCCCTAAGGGGAAAGGGGTGCCCCTGAGATAAGGCGGGTGTTTGA